GGGGCCTGGGGACCCCGTGGGAGGTGAGGACCCTCAGGGATGTGCTGAGAATGAAGGAGAACTTGTAGGGGAGGCTCTGGGAGGGAAGGACGTGCCCTGGTCTCCTCACCTGGATGGGACATCTCAGGAAGCCTTGGGTCCACTTGCTGCACCATCATGGACACCAGAGTTGGGCCCCTGGAAACAGGCTGTTCCCCTTCCTGTGGGGCTGCTGACGTGACAACCCCATGACCAGGCAGGCCAGCCCCCAAGTGGCCACACCCTGTGCTTCTGTCTGTCCTCCAAACACCAAGGCCCCTCCCTCTGCACAGCCGGGGCCAGAGGCAGAGACGCCATGACCCACACCCTCACGGCCCTGCTCCTCCTCGGTGAGATCTCAGGAGGGGAGAGGATGCCCTAGTCTGGGAGGGACCCACCCCACAACCAGGCCCTGGGCAGTCAAAGACCTCAGGCACAGGAGGCTTATGGGGAGGAGGGGTTCTGCTCAGGATTCGGGGCCATCCTCTCACAGGGACTCTCTTCCAGGTCTGAGTGTGGGCCCCAGGACCCGAGCGCAGGCAGGTGAGTGTGTCCCCAGGTGTCCCATCCCACCTCCTCACTGGGGACGGGGGTCACCCACCAGGCAGCGGGGAATGGAGAACAGCAGTTCTGGGCAGATGGAGAGGGGACGTCTGGGGGTTTGGGGCTGAGCTAAGAACTGAGGGTGGGGAAGGTCTTGTGACCGAGCCTCTGTTTCCTTCCAGGGACCCTCCCCACACCCTCCATCTGGGCTGAGCCAGGCTCTGTGGTCCCCTGGGGTAGCGCTGTGAACATCTGGTGTCAGGGGACCCTGGAGGCCGCGGAGTTCTATCTGGATAAAGATGGACACTCAGTGCCCTGGGACAGAAAACCCGCAGTGGAGCCCAGGGACAAGGCCAAGTTCTCCATCATATACATGACAGAGCAGTATGCAGGCCAATATCACTGTTACTATCGGAGCCCCGCTGGCTTTTCAGAGCGCAGTGACCCCCTGGAGCTGGTGGTGACAGGTGCGAGCCCCCTCAGGGTTCCCGCCCCAGGCTCTGCCCTCAGGGAGGGGGTCTTCTCTCAGAGTGTCTCCCTCTCAAAGCCCAGCCCTGGTGATACTGTGGGGGGATCTGTGTCCTATTTAACGTGTCCCTTCCTCCTCTCCTAGGATTCCATGGCAAACCCACTCTCTCAGCCCTGCCCAACCCCATGGTGACCTCAGGAGGGAAGGTGACCCTCCAGTGCACCTCATGGATGGGATTCCATAGGTTCGTCCTGATGAGGGAAGGAGAACCCAGACCCGCCTGGACCCTCGACTCCCAGCGACACACCAGTGGGCAGTTCCAGGCCCTGTTTCCTGTGGGCCCTGTGACCCCCAGGCTCAGGTGGACCTTCAGATGCTATGGCTATTACAGCAACACCCCCCACATGTGGTCACTCTCCAGTGACCCCCTGGAGCTCCTGGTCTCAGGTGAGGGA